TAAGAACTAATTGAGTTTCTTCCACTATCTGGCTGAAAGTTTGTTATATCCAAATAAAGGAGTTTATTGAATAAAAACAATAATATTCAGCAATAAAAATTGAGCTGTCAAAAACATTTACTGCTCTGTAATTGCTGAATCTTCATGATCTGTGTTCTAATATAACATACTGAACTATCCAATAGAAATAATATTTCCAAACAGGTGTAAAATTGTAAGGATAGTCTATATGTATGTGTACCAAGTGGCCCATCCAGTTTGGACTTACTAAGTTTTTGTAGCATGAAGTGATCAGCAAGTCCCAGCCCCTGTTTCTTCCCCACCTCCACCTCATTTTATCAGGGCTTCCCTGACAGTTCACTGGTGCACATTAAAATTTTGTGAGTGAGGCAATTGTAAGAATTAGTGAACAAGGGGATAACTAGAGGAAAGGGTCCAGGGGTGTCTATAAACCTCCTTCATAAGCCTTCTAAAGCAAACAACCTACAATATTCAGGTGGCGAAAACTGATGAGAACCCCTCCCTTGAAAATTTCTGGCTATGCCCTGATGATGAGCCACCAAGAACACAATCCCACCTAAGTTTTAAACCCCATCTCTAGACCAGGATTCCAGTATGCCAATCTTTTGCCCAGAGTGTTGTATCATTTGGCCCAAGAAAACTCCCAGCATTTGACAAAGAAATATCATGAGTGATGATCTGACTCTTACTTACTTCTGTTGATCTGCTGAATTCCTCCTCTTTAACCAGTTGAGGTAAATTTCTGTTAATTTTCCAGGGAGAGAAGTATCTGCAAGCGTTGCTACATTGATCAAATAAATGACTGTAAATATAAGAAATGTGCAAGAAGGAAACGAACACAAATCTGTTGAAAAAGTTCAGGTTTTCAGTCATCGTTGTGAATGGCTGAAGACAAAACTGTTCAGGTCCCCAGATCTCCTCAACCATTTCTCATGAAGACATTTAGCGACGTCTTCCTTTTGAAAGAATCTACTACGATGGGACTTATGTACTTACTAGAGGTTCCTCTGGAAGAAATCCTAAATTTGGGGATAAGATCAAATTGCAGCGGTGTTGGAAAACAAATTCCATTTCCGCTTCATCGTATTTGTTGGAGACCGTGTTATGTGGACAGCGATTGTATGAGGTGAGGTGTGGGGGAAGGGTGAGAGTTTGAAAAGACACGCAAACACGAGCTATTTATGAATTTGAGGCCGCGTCAGGAAATCATCCTCCAAGTGACGTTTGTAAAGTTTTCGTCATTACTTGGGAAATCATGAACGATTGAGTTCCTTTGTTATTCAACCTGTTCGTTATTTCATGTGAATCAACTTGCAGTTAAATTGCTGCCGATCTCTATCGAACACTGAGCGATTACTTCAAGAGAGGTAGAAACCTCTATATGTTTGATGCAAAGGATGGGGTTTTTTTTTTTAGGGATCCTAAAATACAAACGCTTGGGTGCAGATACTTATATACAATCTGAAGTAAATTATTAGTACCCTGTCAAGAACATTCGTGATATATTTTCATTTACATTAATCAGTTTTAGCCTCACAAAGTAACTTGTAAAATAAATACCTAATAAGAGGTAAAGAACCCATGCCTGCAGTCGTGACCTGTAGGAACCAGCCCTTCATGTCAAATAATGGTCATTAGTCCTACATTGTATACCGCAAACAGCGCTAAGATGCTTTCATTATCTTTTATATAGATTCTGAAGAACAAAGGGAAAAAAAACACACAAAAAGACCTGGGATGGAGATGGAATCCCCAGTGTTACATACACACATTACGCAAGATTGCCACGCCCCTTTACAAAATCTATCTGAAAGTAGCAACAACAGTTTGGCAAATTAAAGCACGAAAAGATTATTCCTTACGATTTAAAGTAGTCTTGAAAATTTTACTTTCGGTAAGTATCGAAGATCGATTGCAAAAAGGTTGATGTTTTTACATATCGAAGGATTTTTAAAAGACTGCCAGGAACGTTCGAGATTTATTTTTACACGTTACACTACGTATTCAAGCCCCGCCATTTCCGGTCAAACCTTACGTGATTTTTATTTGGCCTCGTTTTCATAACGGTGCCTGATGCCTATAAACTGGCGTAAGTACTTTTTACTGGGAAAATTCTCACGCATTTTCCAGTATTACTACGTGAACGATCGTCTGTGATACATCAGTGTTAAAACCGTAAATATGATAGAGAAGGGCATTTCAAGAAAATGCCTTTTATATATCTAGCGTACCTTATTGTGGGTATAATTTTTCCTTAATTAAGAGCTTACTTGACCCTGATATGGCAGTATGGCACTTCATGGATTGCAAAATAATTGTCTGTGAATCAGAACAAACACAGTGTGGTTATCATTTGCGTTTCAGTCGCGGTATGGGTATAATGTCGATTGTTAATTTTTCAAGTGTTGGTGTATTTTCAGTTGATTCTATCGTCATATTCACTTGATGGCGAGGTTCGAGTGAGATCGAAATTTTGAATGACTGAGAAACAAAATGTTGATTTCCGTGATGGAAAACAAACTTTGAAAACATTATACAGTCCGATCCATCTACATTTTGTAAAAGACATTTTAATGAATGTAATTAATTTTGGTAACTTAAATGTCGTTATGAAGAAATTGGCATAAATTTTCAGTTTCTATCGAAAACAAAGAAAATTACCAACAGTGCATGCAATCCAACCCCGTGTATACCCTCGGTGTTTTTTTTAAAACTTGTTTTCAAAATTTTAGAACCGTTTAAACATGACTTGAAAAAGTTACTGTATATTCATTTGTTTTTTTTTGTATTTATTCTTGATAGATTTGATAATGTGAAGTATTGTCTTGGCCATCAGCAAATCAAGTACAGTTGTAGTTATTGATAGTATGTGGATACATTTGCATTTTCACAAATTAACTTCTAGCATTGAGTACTGTGCATTGTTCCATGGCATGGCACCTTACCATAACTGTTCTCCTCCTTTCCCAGGAATTTATAAGAGGTTTTATTACGAAAACAAAATAGTGAAATAACTTGGACAGGTGTGGCATCTGGTTCAGATGAAACCATGATTTGTATAGAAATACTTTATTGTAAGGGAAAAACATTAGCCTGGTTCTAATTTATTCTCATAAATATGCTACACTTGGCTAAACTGATGATAATTGCTGCACTTTTTTAGGCCGTCAGTGTTTAGACAAGTCACAGATTTTGCAAATGTTTTTAAAGCATTTATTGGAACCAACTGGATTGGTCTGCCATTTGCTTTTAAACAAAGTGGAATTGTGGTAAGTCAAAAGTTAGCTGCTTATTGATAAAACTGTTTTATTGCAGTATATTTGTCAACAAAAGTCTCCTTTAGGCTATGGATGGTGAAGAGGCCATTTTGAACTACATGATGTGATTAAAAAAATGTCCTTGTTTAAATTGTCTCAAACCATCTTAATTTTTACTTTTTTAAATTTTTTTTTTTGGTTAACATTTTCTGAGTGGTACTGTACAGATATCAATCAAACAATAAAGTTAATGTTGATCATTTCTTTTCAGCTTGGATGTGTGGGAATCCTTATCATTGCACTCATCACAGATCACTGTTGCCAGTTGATCATCAAGTGTAAGAAAGCCGCCGTCCAAATTGTTCTAGACTCAGCCCCAAAGTCAGATGATATTGAATCCCTGGATACAGACATGACTGACATGCGAAACACTGTAGAGAAAAGGATGTTTTTTGGAGAAATTGGTAGAATTGCTTTGGGCAAGAAGGGAGTGTTCCTTGTAAATGCAGCACTTCTTACCACACAGTATGGCTTCTGCATTGGTTATTTCATTTTTTTGGGCAACACCATTACATCAATGTTTCCTCCACCACATAATTCTTCCAATGACACAAATACTACAGCAAAGTCACATGGGAATTACCATCCTCCTGCATTTGCTCTGCTCATTCTTGTGCCACTGATCCCATTGATACTGTTTTCATACATTAGAAGTATTCGTAAACTGGGTCCAGTAAGTTTTGCAGCCAATGTGGCTCTCCTGGTGGCTTTTGTTTCAGTAGTGGGATATATATGTTAAGTGGTAAGTTTCATGTTATCATGATTTTTAACCCTTTAACTCCCAAGATCAAATTGTTAATTCTCCCCTCAAGCTGCCACATATTTCCTTGTAAATTAGTAATGAGAATTTGTTGTTAGATCAAGACAACAACTTCTAACTGATAAGTTTGAATATTCTCATTACCTGTTTGCTGGATAATGTAAGGATGTCATAGGGAGAAGTTTTTTGTTGATCACTTGCAGGAGTCAAAGGGTTAACTGGCCAGACAGGATAATTAACAACTATGATTTGCACCAAAGTGGAGATAACTCTTCCAACACTTTCACCAAGACTCAGTTAGATATTAATTCTTTTAGCATATACCACACAAGAACCAAAAAATTTCTTCCTGATGATGATGTTGAAAAAAATAGTCAGAGAAATTAAACTCTTGATACACAATTGAAAGGCTCAGAGCAAGAACGATCCCTTGATTTTTCGCCATTTTTGAAAGTGTTCAGAAGTAGTTGAATTTTGGCATGCTCTGAGCCTTTCAATTTTGTCTCTTTTGATTGCTCCAAGGTCAGTAATACTTGCTAATCAGCTCGAGCTGGCCAATCAAGGCTTGCAAAAAGTTATATTGACTTGTGTGGTATAATAATTCTTTGGTCATTCCAAATATGGTTACACTGACAGACAAAAGACAAAAGATATTATTTTTAATGACCTAAAATTGATTTGTGCCGATTCATTTCTGTATCTATTTTATTAACCCTAACCAGAGCCCTAAAATATTTTTATGTATAAGCGGTAGCAGATTAATTACCTCTAGTCAGACAAGTCTTGTTCCAATTTGTTTTGCATGTAGGTTTAAAATTCAAACTAAAGGAAATCAGGCTGTCAAACTGGGCTACATTTCCAGTTTTTTTTTGCCAAGTGACCAGTGCTTATGAAGGAATTGGAACTGTAAGTATTCTGCTGGGCTTTTCACTTCTAGTTAAATAATAGACTTGACATTGTTACATTTAGTAGACAAGGGTTACTGAGAGGGGAAGGAAGAGATGTAACCTTTCAAAATCATAAAAACTTGGTAGAAATAATCAATATGAGAAACACAATTCTGTTTTTTTTAATGTAGTTGTTTTTATTTCTGTTAGTTCTGCACTTGATAATTTCCATTTGGTAATGGATCCTCCATTATCCGTCCTCAATTCTTGAAAAATGTGGAGGATTTTCTGTAATGATCCTCTTCCCTTTTACATGCTTCAGTCCTTAACCCTTTAACTCCTGTGAGTGACCAAAATAGAGATTCTTCTCACTATATCTATACAATATCATGCAGACAAGTGATGAGAATAAAGAAAAATGTCAATGATGGGATTACTAATTGGTCCGATACAAATTCTTCAAACTAACATAATGGGAATCATTTGACAGACAGTAAGCAGAATTACTAATGAGATCTTGAGAGTTAAAGGGTTAAGTCTCACCCATGTCTTCTGTATACTTCATTAGCAAGTAACTTTCAGTGAGTGATCAATTCAAAAAGCTATCATCTTCCATTAGTCATTCACACTTGGCTTGGTGAGAGAGATCTGGAGCTAACCTCCTGCTTGATTAGCTTTATGCCACCCATTCTGTTGGGTTACCATTAAGACCTGTATTTACAAGGGAGAATAGTCTCCTTATCTGAGTAAAAATGGTTTAACTCTTGCCATTAAAATTTAGCTAAAGAATTCTGTGTAGTATGTGGAGAATTTACTCTGATGCTGGGATCTTAAGTACCCTGGACATAATCCCAGTTCATTGTAAGCTTTACCTTTTTGGTAAAATGGTGCTCTTTTAAAATCATCAGTAGGAAATGTTTCATTTGAATTTTCTTTTTCAGTTGATTCCCATTGAAACCAGCATGGCAGAGAACCGACACAGATTCCCTTTGTATTTACACTTTGCTGTTGGATCCCTTTCAGTAATTCTTGGTTGTTTTGGTATTCTTGGATACACAGTGTATGGGGAAGAAGTAAATCAGATTGTTACAGAAAGCTTTCCTTCAGGAGTATTGATTCAAGTGGTTCAATGTTTGCTGTGCTTTGCTATACTCCTGACGTATCCTCTCCAGGTCTTTCCAGTTATAGAGATCATTGAGGGTTGGCTGTTTAAATCTGACAATAACACTGCAGTGGAGACCAGCACCAGCACTAACAGTGAATCATCTGATGTATCTGTGGGAGTACAGGCCAGTGAAAGTTCTTGGTTACTTGCACCAGAAATACCAAAACAGAAAAGCTTGGTAAGTAAAAAAGGAAAAAATGGCACAGAAAGTGAAGAAGATTATTTTATTTGTTTCATTATTGTGGTTATTTGAACCAGACCTGATACTGTTTTGATATGTACAGTATTTATGACACCCATTAGACAATACTCCACTCTATGTGATAAGCACTCTTCAAAACAATCAAAACTTTTAAAAAATAGGAGAATCTTCTATTACTTTGAAAAGGTCTAGAGTCTGGAGTGTCTTATTAGTTAGACTGTGTGATCTTCGTTAGACATGGCTAAATTCATGAATTTGCTGTCCTAACATTTCAAACCACCCAGCATCCTACAAACAGATTTGTCTGGCATTTTATCCCTCCAAAGGGGGATGAGATTATGTTGTGTACTCCCAACAGCGTGAAATTTAGGGGGAATTTCACACAAATTGGAGGATACTACATGTCCAACCTGGATCTCAAAGGTTATCCCAACTAGCATTTAGTGTACCATGTGTGCATAGTTTAATCTTTCGATTCCTCTCCTGTTTACAGGCAAGGAAGTGGAAGAAAAATCTGCTGCGAACATTTATAGTTTTGACAACTGCTGGCATTGCTATAGCACTGAAAGATGATTTTGCATATGTTAGTGCTATTGTTGGTTCTATTGGAAGTGCTACCCTGGGCTTCATTTTACCTTGTATTTTCCACTTGGTACTTTGTAAAGACTCGAACACAATGCTAATCAAAGTCAAAGATTGTTTATTTATAGCCTTTGGTATCATTGGAGGGGTTGTAGGTGTAACAATAACGATAGAACAGATTGTTCAACAATTTACTAAAAGTTAATAACAATTGTTTACAATTGAGAATGTTTTAACCCTTCAAGTCCTACTAGTAACCAAGACAGAAATTCTCCTTAGGCTATCAGTTCAATATCAAGCAGACAAGTAATGAGAATAATGAAAAATATCAATTTGGGGATGATTAGTTGATCCAATTCTACATTCTCTGAACTAACATTATAAGAATTGTATGGTTGACAGTATAGAGAATTACAAATTTGATCTGGGAGTTAAAGGGTTAAACTACCTGTAAAGAGTAGCTTTATGTTTTTTTTCATAATTTATTTTATTATTTTAATCTGTAAAAGGAAATGATTATAATATATATTAGGCTTCAAATTTTCATAGTTATGCTGCTTTGCAGCTATGTTCAACTATTTCCAGGAGGAATTTTTTTATGGGAAACATTTGTTCCAATTCATTTTATACATACTGAAAGGAAACCCAGTGGGTAAGGAATCGTAAAAAATATTATTGTAGAAATCAATGATTGATTTTTGACATTCACAACCAAGCATATACAAGTAGAAGATATGCCTGAGTAATGTTTCCTTCTCAATCATCAAGTGTTGATTCAGGCAAAAAATGATTCTTTATAAACTATTTTAAAAATTCCAATGGAGAAAACTGTTGAAACAAAAGTTAGCAAAATAAGTTTAAAAAGTGTAATTTAAAATTATGGAAATTGCCATAAATATTGTTTTGTTTTCATTTGTGCTAACTTTGGGTGGTAGAGAACAAAAATGATGATGTGGAGAGTGGAGACAAAAAAGTGAACTTGGATAAGGGCTTGCTTTCACCAGAGGTGTTTGTTTTAAAACTTCCAATGGAGAAAACTGTTTAAAGAAAAATGAGCAAAATAAGTTTAAAAAACGCATAAAAATAGAAATTGCCATAAATATTGTCTTGTTTTTATTTGTGTTAACTTTGGGTGGTAGAGGGCAGAAATAATGAAGTGGAGACTAAAGAGTGAAATTGGAGAAGTGCTTCATTCACCCAGCTATCTTTCAGCACTAAAGGACAAAAGTTGGCAATCATTGATGTGGGAGACTGGGTACTGGAGACAAAGTCTCACCCTGGATTGACTACAGGGCCCAGTTGTTTGAAGGCCGATAAGCGCTAACCTGGGGTTAAGTTTTAATCTGGGTTTCTTTAATCCCTTTTTCAAAGGACTATTCCAGATAATTTCTTAAATTCTTTCAGGCATCAAATTTTAAGCAAAAATAAATAGACTGAATATTCTTTTAAAGCTTTCAGATCTGAGGTCAGATTTCACACTAACACCAGGTTATCTTATCCTAACTTTGAACAACTTGGTCAAGAACCTTTGTAAATGAAAACAGTTGATTTTATTCTTTAACATCCTCTCCAGTTACTAAACTTGTCATGTGGCTCTCTACTTTACATGCATGTACCTTTGCCTGTTTGAGTTTCTTCATAACAAAATTTACTTCACTTTGACACAAAAATTTAAGATCAGTCTCAAATATAAAATATTTATTCAATAATGGTGCAATTTCTTTTTATAGAGCCATAAGTCGAATCAATCTGCATTGCAGCACAGTATCCTTATCCCACAATCCCTTGAGGGGTAAGGACACCTCAACTCTGAATTCCATAAACTCTTAATAAATTAATTTTTATTGAATAAATGATGCAATGCATATTGGGGTACTTATGGACTAAATTCTGAAGTATGTCAGAATTTCTTTGTTCCAATCCCTTGAGGGGTGAGGATACTGTTCATATCTCTCTGTCCCAATCCCTTGAGGGGTGAGGATACTGCTCATATCTCTCTGTCCCAATCCCTTGAGGGGCGAGGATACTGCTCATATCTCTTTGCCCCATCCCTTGAGGGGTGAGGATACTGCTGATATCTTTCATAAGTATTAATCTCAATAAATTAATTTCAAAGTAAAACTTACCAGTAACAAGAAATTCATTAACAAAATAATTGGAAGAAATATTCACAAGCATTTACTGCCTTTACTGCAAGAAAGAAGTTTAACTGTCTACTAAGTAACATTTCAATTTATTTTGTAAGCAACAAAAGACCATATACAAGCTAGTATTTTCAGGCCAAATTCAATGAAAAATCTAAGACATTACATCACATCAGTGGCCAATCAACAAGTTTATCTATCACCAAGAGAAAGAGAAAATAAGAACTGATGAGCTGTATTCTAAATAGAAAGTACTAAATAGAAGCTTTGCCCAGAGTATCTACATGCACATGCAGAAGTTATAAAATGGAATCAGAAACAAGAATTCATCTGACTTCTCAATACCATCTATCTATGTTACACCAGAATTGATTATTCAGTGCAAATGAGTGATTTTAAAAGCATACCACCACAACTTCACCACAATTTCACCCTTTATACTGAATAATGAATAGTAAAGTTAAGCAAAAAGCATGGTGAAGGTTAGTAGCGAAGTGCTTGATGGTCAATGCCTAATGATCTGTGGTTGCCCAGATCATGTAAAGATTCCCCCCAGGACCTCAGAGTTAAAACAACTTGGTTACATAACAGGAACAATAGCTACACCAAATCACTGGGACAAAATGAATAAATGGGGCAAGGAACATAGGAAGCTAAGCAGTGTATCATATGTAATTTTCATGCCACATTGTATTGTGTGAGACTTGCTCGTCAGCTCTTGTTTATAAAGAGTAAAGATTAAGAACTTGAATTACCAGAGGATTCAGAGGAATTCCCATCTTGGGAATTCTGATCCACATACAAAATAGAACTGATACCAGTTTTACCTAACTGAACAACCTTTCCCAGATTTTCAATAGAGCTTGCTAGTTTACAATACACCTCTTTCACTCTTGCCTGAGAAAAGTTACCATTCTCTTCTAATTCTCTGCATAGAGATTTTAAATTTTCCCCTTCTTCTTCCACTTGTTGCCAGTGTTCCCTCATTTGACACACCCTCATGTAAATCTCTTGTCGTTTAGCCTTCTCTTCCACAAGACAACCTTCAACACAAAGACGCAAGTCTTTCTCCTGAGAGAGAAGAGTTTGAAGCTGCTTCACTTCAGAAGTGGCATTAAGAAGCTGTGCTTCTATTTTGTGAGCTTGATGTTGGCATTCCTCCAGAGCTTTTCTGTCATTTTCTGTGTTCAAATAATTATTTTCTTCCTTCCAGTCTGATATTGCTGTAAGAATTTTCCTTCTTGGACCAAACAATGAAATTCCAACTTCTCTTAGATCACTGTCTGTGAGGGTTAGTAGTGTAATAAAATCCACATCTTGATCTTCAAATGTGGAAATATATTTTGTCAAATTCAAATCTTCCAGAAAGTTTGCAATAGTTGGTTTCATAGGTGAAGCTTCACCAACTTGAAGTTGTCTACTGGCATCACTTCCAGTACTGTGCATTTTCTGTAGTTTTTTATGCAAGCTAGCACTTTCAACAGTTCTGCCACAGTTAATGAAAAAGTGCTCAGATTCATAACTACCAACAGGAGTGCCTGGTGTGTTGGCTAAACAGTATGGACTTCCGACAAAATGGCTGGCCCTTTCCTGTTCTCCCATCATACTAGGAATATTCACTGGCTTTCCATCATTCTGATGACTGCTCATCAACTTTTTAAAGGCCTCTGGTCCATCTTGAATCCCAACCTTTGGGATCACATTCTTTCCTTGAAGCGCTGCACAAACCTTATCTTCAACATGGTCACTGTCATCAGGTACAAGACCAGGTTCACTCCATAACATAATGTTTGGCATATTGAGAAAGGCCTGCTGATTAATTACGTTTACTACAGCCATGTTCCCATTCCATGAGCCAAAGATCGTGCATCCTCTCCACGGTTTGTGTGAGCATTCATGTTTGCATTGCATCTAACAAGTTCTTCAAATATGACTTCATGTCCTTCCTTTGCAGCTGCCAGTAACGGAGTCAGGCCAAATCTATATTCCTACAAAGAGAAAAAAATCAATAAATCTAATTCAAATATCCTCTGCTCTCTGAAGAAAGAACCTCAACATCATTTCATCTCGGGAGCTGTGCTACATATTATTTAATTGCTTTTTGTTGTGAGGAAAATGTGCTAAAATCAATTGAAAACTAAAACTTTAACTCCTAAAGGCAACTAGCATCTATTATGTGTTATTTATAGGAAATTAATTGTAAAAATTGAGGGCCTTGGCAAGTTTGGTCCATCATTAAATATTTTTTTCCATAATTGTAATTTCTCTTCACAATATCAACCCTGAATCACACAGTTAGGTGACACGAATAAAGGAAAGGATAACCAACAAAATAAGCTTTTGATTTTTGAGCAAATTCCCCTTGTCAGCAAAGAGACGAGTATAGAGAATATGCATTGCGATGTATCAGGGAAATGGGTTATTAAACAAACATCTCCTTACTTTTTTTCTTATACGCTCTAACTGGCTTAAAAAAAAAAACGAAAATAAAAAAGAATTTCTAGAAAGGTAAAACTCTACTTTGCATACTTGATGCACTCCGCTATTGTTGATCGTCACCGTAAAAATTTATATTCATCTGCTACCTGGAAGATTATTCTAAAGTAAATGCCTCACAATCAGTGGGTAAAATGACACCGTGAGAAGTTTAATTTATTAGGGCGGTATCAGTTTTAACTTTTCTTCAATCGTGTGCGCATTTACGCAAAAAAAAAAGATTATTCAAGAGGTTTAAATAATTTAGAATGAAGGGAATATTGAATACCTTAACTCCATGTCAGCACCGTTCTCCAACAACAACTGTACAACCTTGTGATGTCCTTGGTACGTTGCATAAAACAAACCAGTCCAACCTCTCTTGTCTTGAGCATCGATCTTAGCACCGTTCTGCAGTAGGAAGTAAACAACAGATTCATTTCCACAACTTGCCGCAAGCATAAGCGCGTTAGCCCCATTTTCTGCTGTAGTCGCGTTCACATTAACATGGTAGTCGAGGAGCAGATTAACTATATTGTCATGGCCAACGTAAGCAGCGTACATTAGAGGAGTCCATCCACCACAGTTGGGTTTATCAAGATCGGCTAACTCCACTCCATCTGCTAGATGCTGCTGTACACAGCTGTATTCGCCGATAGCACAAGCAGTGTAAATGTCCATTGCGATGACTTCGTCTTCGTTCCATAGATTACTGCAGTCGTTTACATCCGTAAAACTCGCCGAGCGTTCGGCACGGCCATAGAAGTATTCTTTTGGCTCATCCATTTTTACCCATAACTTGAGAGTAACCCTTAAATAATGATTTCAATGACTTTCTTCAGCGTCCGTGCTAGAAAAGTATAACTGTTTGACAAATCCATGACATGCGCATGACCTGCACCATCATTTGTTTCACGAACATTCCATCGTTGCGTGACAGCTGCGTTATATTTTACGTACTTCCGTTTCCTTAGAGGTCTGAATACTACAAATATACCCTAATAATAACTATGGTTTCCTATTGAAGCTATTCATTAATATCACAATATACGAGAATAGAGTGACCACTTCTTGGGCTTTTTAAAAATTATTTGGCTAACAATAAACATTGACAAAATCCTGTGACATAATCGATGTTTGCTACGTACATTTCAGTCCCCCACCTATTGTAACCCCAAGAGATCTATAAATAGGAAAATCGTCATATTCTACTTTTGTATTGTCTACCTACTAGTAATAGTTCTCACTAAAACTACAACGGCCTTGTTTTTTTTTTTTTTCTTAATTTAAGAAATTGACGAACGCATCGTAATATATAAAAACTTTATTTTTTGTGTTTACGATATTTTCATCGCCTTGTCACACTTCTGCTCTACTCCTATCACGTGGTAACATATCATGTGACATCGACGCCCGTGTCTCCATTCTCTCGCAAATCAGCTGGCGGGATAATAGAGCAGTTTGCAGTATTTGCTGTCGATTGACGAGACCGTGTACCAGCTTCAGTAGTCTGTCTTACGCATACAAAGAACTTGATTACGCTGTTTCATCAAAAACATGACAGGCCATATGTCTGTTACGTCCAGGACTTCTCAAGCGACCCTTGTAAGGTAAGCCACGATTGCGTTGACCTGTGCAGTTTGGCTGGCCTGAATGCCTGGATGGTTTAAATGGACTGAGCATTCGTTTAAAACATGGATCTTGACTTACTCTGTAAAAATAATTCGCAGATGATCAATATTCCAAAAGTTTTCCTTCTTTTATTCACTTCCGGATCGATGATGTTGATTTTAATCCATTGGAGATTCGATTCGGCTGTTCGATTACATCGATTTACTGACAAACGCTTACACCCGCACGCTCACACCTTGCAAATGCATTTAGACAGTTGATGTTTCATGAAGGCAGTGAAAATTTAAACATGATCGCTTGAAGTGAAAAGTTCGACTGAAACAGGTTTCAAGGCCTTCCCCATGGAATCAATTATTTCCGGTTTCGCTTTCCTGCTTCCACGCTAACACCCGCACGCTTACATCTTTCACGTGCATCTAGGCAGTCAATGTTTCATGAAGGCAGTAAAAATTTAAACATGATCGCTTGAAACGAAAGGTTCGACTGAAACAGTTTTCGAGGCCTTCCCCATGGAATCAATTATCAATCCGGTTTTGCGTTCCTGATTACACGCTGTAGTGTAAACACTACCGCGTGACAGATTCAATTTTTTAACAGCTGTATTGGTTCCCGATCCCGTTATTCTTTTTCCCGGGAACAAGGACAAATTTTGAGATCTCATCAGGACTTCAAATTCAATTATAAGCTTCTTCAAAGTTGTCAATATTACCAAAAAGTTCAGTTGCGGTGGAAAAAGTAGGTGCGCTGTGCGCGTTTACTCAGCTGTAGCTATGTAGCGTATAGCAATACAAATGTAATTGTCTTGGAAACAAAAATGTGAAAGTGCAACACGTATTCCAGTAGTAGCCCTTTTCACTTAATCAGTTTACAGGCTATATGAAAATGAACGACAAACCGAAAGAACAAAAATAATTAATGAATACAAAAAAAAGGATATCAAATCAAAATGAAATATGATTCCCCAGATAACTTTCTCAAGTCATTTCTATATTTAGTACACATCAGGATATGGTCAAACTGTAGTGGTTACCATTAATCTTAAGTGTAAAATACTGTTACTTTCATGAATGAAAAGGAAAAAAGGAAACAAAGTTAAAAAATTCAAGGTTAGGAAAGAAGTGGTGATTAAAAAAAAAAGGAAAAACTTGAAAGGTCCTTACACAGGTAAAGCTGTACTTATGTGATATGTTTACATTTTTCTTTACCATAACCAGACCCTCAGCTTGGCAGCAGTTTACAGATTTTGCAAATGTTCTGAAGGCTTTTATCGGAACAAGCTATTTGGCATTACCATTTGCTTTTTATAAGAGTGGATTAGTGGTGAGTTAATTTAATGTCTTTTAACCTTTTAACTCCCAAGATTTCATTAGTAATTCTCCTTACAGTCTGCCACACAATTTATGTGATGTTAGTTTGGAGAATTAAAGATTGGATCAACCAATAATCCCATAATTGAAAATTTTCTTTATTCTCATTACTCATCTGCTTGATATCATACAGATGATGTGAGGAGAAATTCTGTCTAGGTCACAAGTGGGACTTAAAGGGTTAACCCCTTTACACTCTTACATCAGTAAATGTGCAAATTTTCCATACATTTCCTTAGGTGTTGACAGAGATAATTTGTTTAACAGTCAATAGAGATAATTTACAGTATTTTTGGGACCTCAATGTGTAATTCAGGGGTGATATTCTAAGGAGAAATTAGATGTTAGTCACTTTTTGGGTGAAAGGTTACAATAAGTTCTATTTGCTGCAATCAAAGGCTGAAGTGAGAACCATCAGCTTTTTAAAATTCACTGCATTAGCAGTTTACATAATTTAATCAACTTAAAAACTGGTAACAAATTTTTTCACCTGCTAAGAAACTACATGTAATAACCTAGGAATTCTGTCTACTACATTTTATATGGGCAAGGTTGAGTTGACATGTTGAAGGACTTAGCCCAGTTTTATGGTGAGAAACAACTACACAGGGCTAATGAAGTCTTAATTGTTACATGTTGGAATTCTAATTTCTTTGCAATGTTGTTAAATTACAGCTTGGAGCTGTTGGACTAGTAATCATTGCCTTAATAACAGACCATTGCTGTCAACTTATAATTAAATGCAAAATGCTGCTGTGGATATGATTCTTAACTCAACTCCAAGATACCAAGAACTCCGAACAGAAGCTTTGTATGACGAGATGGAAAAAGTCAAGGAGACTATTGAAAAGGAAATGACACTTGGTGACATTGGAAAAATCGCAGTTTGGACCATGGGGATTGAGACTTGTCAACACAGCATTAATAATCACACAGTTAGGGTTCTGCGTTGCTTATTTCATCTTTATTGGAAATACCATAGGAGAAATGTTTCCTCTCAAATACAAATCTGAGACTGTGATCCCAGTTGTAAATGCAACATTGTCTGAACCAACTAGTGCTACAAGAATGACCCACTACTCAACGATATGGATGAACTCCTCTTCAATGATACCTCCACTCCATAGCACTAAGACAGCACCTAAATTCTCCCTCCTTGTATTAATTCCTTTCCCTTTCCTTGTTGCAATGGCCTTTGTGAAGAGCATTCGTAAACTTGGACCAATCAGCGGTGTTGCTAATGTGACACTACTTGCTGGTTTTTTTGGGCTTCTTGCATTTCTGTTGAGGGGTAAGCACTAACCGTGTACAACTGCCTAATGTAGAATTTCTTTAGTAAATGAAAATATTGTTAGTAGTAGTTGAATCTCCTGCCAGCTGTATGCTTTGTGTGGTTACCTTGATTGATTTTTTCTCATTACTTCCACATTAATCTTGACGCTATGTGAAATTAGCATAAACATAAATAAATATAAAGTTTAGCTCTAAACAAAAGATGTATTTTATCAAATTCTTATCTGATCTGGTAGGAAAAAGTTTAATCTGAAAGATGTCAGTTATGCCAGACTGTCCACCTTCCCAATCTTCTTTGGACAGCTGACGGGAGCTTATGAGGGGATAGGAACTGTGAGTGCTGAATTTTTATTGTCAAAAAATTTTTTTTCAACAAAAAACTTAAACTTTTTACTTTGTTGTTAAGCTTAACCTCATAATGTTCTTGTTACTTAAAATTTACAATAATTTTGTTATCTCAGTGTTTGACACATGATCACTATTTGAGGGCAAATTGGAACCTGCCTTGCCACTCATTTGGTTTGTGCATCTCAGTAATGGGCATCACAGGTTCATGTCCTGTGAATTCTCAAGTTCTTTCCAAGCTAGTTTGATTATTTTAATTTTAAATTAACTTATTCCTATTATTACTTACTTAGAAGTATCATGAACAAATATAGATGTGGGAGAAAAGTGTTAAATAAAAAGAAGAAAAGATTCTCTGCATCTCAATCAGAAAAGGCTCAAGCCATTGAAATTTAGTCAAAGAATTCATGTCGATGGCATGATAATTCTGCAATATCTAGTATAAAATGAACACCTTGAACTCTTTGAGTTACTTAAAATTATGTTGTCAAATTAAATCCTCTTGTTATTTGTAGGTAATACCTATTGAATCCAGCATGGCAGAGAACCAAGGTCGTTTCCCCCTGTACCTTCACATAGCACTAGCACAAGTCTCTTTCATTCTTGGTTCATTTGGAATACTTGGTTACATGATCTATGGCAGCACTGTTCCGCAGATTGTAACAGATAGGCTGCAGACAGGGATTGGGGCACAGTTAGTGCGGCTCACACTTATCATAGCTGTTATGATGACCTACCCTCTCCAACTCTACCCAGTTATTGAAATTGCGGAGTCTGTTTTATTCACTAAGATCCATTCCAAAAGTAAATCTCACCTAGGTGCAGTTATTGCAGGTCCAAGTATGGATCCAGATAGCAATCCAGTTTCTCCTGTGGACTCTAATAGCATTAACTCTCACTATCCTGTGTCAAACTCACCAGATGATTTGTCCACCAGTGTAAATTCGGAGACTCAAGTTCTTATTCCAAAGGAGACAGAAGAACTTCAGTTTAAGGTACAGTTGTATTCAGAGATAGCCAACTATCACATGGAACAAATTATGGGCATTTTTTAACCTGTTTCACCCTAAGATCAATATGCATATTCTCCATACTGTTTTCTATGAATTTCCTAAGGTGCTGATAAGGAGATTTTGCTTAAAGAACTCCTGTACTTGTTGATCATTTCCGTTATTCTCATGATCTTAATGATTGATTTAACCCTTTCACCCCAAGGTCTAATTAGTAATTCTCCTTACTATCTGCCATAAAATTCTTATGATGTTAGTCCAGAGAATTTGGTACTGGATCAACTAATAATCCCATAATTGATATTCTTCTCTATTCTCATCACCTACCTGCTTAAAATTGTATTGATATTGTAAGGAGAAATTCTGTCTTGGTCACTTGTTGGAGTGAAAGGGTTAATTATGATATTGTAAGGAGACTTCTGGGTTTAAGGGTTGGAACAATTTTCAAATTGGTGTGTTAAAACATGGTTTTTCATTTTTATTTAATTGATGCAGTAGGCTTGTTTTGTGGGACTCAGTTTTAAACAATAAAAGGGTGTGGTCATGAAAAAAACCACCCTGTAAAACATTGATGCTTATGGTTATGTAGAAAAACATGCACACTCAAGTAAAGCAATGATCTCCTCAGGTGAGCTGCAATTTAAGCATTTGCAGAAAAGAAGCCATTAATTCAGATGTGAGGCAACATCCAAGTTTTGTAATAAGGGCAAAAGCCAAGGGGGAGGCATTGAATTGGGACAGGATGATTTACTGGCCAAAAGAGTCTTAGACTCCAAAAGAGCATTGTGAAATTGACCCAAAAACAGAATTCCCCCCCCCCCCCAACTTTCACTCTCAAGATCTCATTAGCAATTCTTCCTAACATCTGCCATAAAATACTCATGATGTCAATTTGGAGAATTTGGCATTGTATCAACTTGTAGTCCCCTAATTGAGTTTTCTTCTTTATTCCTTCACTTGACTGCCCGATATTGTATTGATGTTGTAAGGAGAAATTCTGTCTTGGTCACTGATGGGAGTGAAAGGGTTAAATTGCAGCTCACCTGAGGGGATCAGGGTTAAAATTAACTCCCTGGCCAAATCTATTAGCTGTAATAAGCATACTAGTAATATTATAATATTATTATCATAATTATGATTGAAAACTTTTAACTTGAAAAGACCTTTACTGCATTAGTCTTACATCCCAACCACAGTAACTTGTTATGAGCATGTAAGGTATGTTTGGAACTCTTATTTCATACTCAATAAACAGAGAGCTGTTTTCAAGCTTGTTTTAACTGTGCTTAACTTCTTTTGTTTCTCAGGCAGCAACTTGGAAGAGGAATTTACTTCAGCAGTGCTAGTAACTATAACAGCAGGGATAGCCATTGCACTCAAGAATAAATTTGCCTATGTGAGTGCTCTGACTGGTTCATTAGGAAGCTCAGTGTTGGCTTACATTCTACCATGCATATTTCACATCGTCCTGTACAAAAACACCAATTCTGTAGCTGTAGTTATAAAGGACATTATTATTGTGGTATTTGGTATAGTCGGTGGTGTTGTGGGTGTGGTCATTACTATTCAAGATATGGTCAAGAATTAATCTTAGTAAACTGAAACTTGCCTTTCATCATCCAGGCTTACAAATTTAGACACCAACATTTTACTGGTGGCCAGGGCAACCAAAATAGTAGCAGCTAGAAGTGTTGTAAAAATGAGATAAACAATTTTATAACACAATTCTTTTTTTTTTGTATTGTTTTCACCAAAAAAAATTTTCTCTCGTCAGAATATTAAGTGTTAAGATTTCCCTTGAAACAGCAAATAAATTTTTTTTTTTTTGTGCAACTGAAATTTAATTTCTGATGACTTAATGACTGAAGGTCAACAAATAGCAACTTAAAAAGGGCCTGGATTGGAAACCTGCTGTGTAAATCATATTGTTCTGAAAGTTGGAAAAATGTGAATGTAGGAATGTTTCAGAGTGTTTCAAAAGAAACAAGCCATGCAGATGCTAGAAAACTGTTCCTAACTGTGATAGGAACTGTCTTTAGTTTGTGCTTTTGTGGTTTGCCCATGTATCCCAATCTTCAGTACGATTGACCAAAACACTTTTAACTTTCCCAAAATATTTCAGATGTTCATGGTTTTTATGTGCTGAACAGTAATAACCAACATGTTAGTTAACTTTTTAACTCCCAGGTAAAATTTGTAATTCTCCTTCCTGTCAACCATACAATTCTTATAATGTTAGTTCAGAGAAGTTATCATTGGATCAACTAATTTTCCTCAAATTGATATTTTTCATTATTCCCATCACTTATCTGGTTGATATTGTATTGATATTGTAAGAAGAAACTATGTCTTGGTCACTCATGGGAGTTAAAGGGTTAATGGTGAGTCCCTCAGTTTCTTTCTTGTTCACTAAAATAAACAAAAATGGCTCAAAATGAGGAGAACAATGATTTATTTAGTTTAATTACACTAATGATTACAATGGAAATTTGGATAGGAACTAAAACAGAATATTTGACTAAAGGAGATTGCCACACAAGTGTTAAAATGATCTACACTAATTTGCAAATGTTATTGACAAGATTCATTAAAGATTTTATACCTTCAACAGATTACTTTCAACATAACAAGGTTTACTTAAGTTTTTAAACAAATTTATAGTGTTTTAATTTATTTATAGCTTACCTGTGTACTTGATTTTATAATACACAATTATTGTAACACAGACCCAAGGTTTGATAATTGATGATATGTGAAATTGGTTTATTATACATTTTTTAAATGATCTGCAAAAGCAGAAACTTCTCCCTGAGTTTTCAAAAGTTTGAGAATACTCTACGGATGGAGAGCTCAGAAACTTAGCAGACTTTGAACTCAACATAATAAATGCAACATCTGCTGCAGAAATTGTATCATCATGTCAACTTCACATGCTATTCTGGTGGAGCTCGCAGATCGTAGCCCCATAATTACACAAAATAGTAGTAACCCATCAAGGTGAAAAAATTTGGATGTATGAGTGTACAAGTTGGTACTTTTAACATGCCTCGGCACGCCAACACCACAGCTTTGTTCAGTAATCCAGTGGTCAGTGCACTGGGCTCCAAGTCAGACTACCCAGGTTCTAGTCCTGGCCAGGGCAAGGTGTTGTACCCTTGAGATGTGCGGGGAAAAAATGCGAGCTCCGCTTTTAGGCTTGGCTAAATCTATATATTATATTGATTAAATGGTCTCAGCCAATCAGATACCCTTTCACTCCCAAGATCTCATAAGTAATTCTCTGTACTGTCTCATATGATTCTCATGATGTTAGAATTTAATATTGATCAACCAATAATCCTCAAGTGATATTTTTCTTTATCCTAATCACTAGTCTACTTGATATTGTATTGATATAGTTAGGAGAAATTCTTTCTCAGTCACTAATGGGAGTTAAGGGTTATCAGCCTTAACAGTAGCACATAAGTTAACCCTTTACACCCTAAGATCAGTATGCATATTCTCCATACTGTTCTCTATAAATTTCCTGAGGTGCTGAAAAGAAGAATTTGCTTAATAATCAAGAGCTCCATTTTCATTATTCTTGTGACCTTAATGTATGATTTAGAGATGATATTGTAAGGAGAAACTAGATGCAAGTCGCCTCTCAGGGGTTAAGAGTTAAACTCGACTTTTAATGGGGCCTCAAGAAAAGCACTTGTTTAGTTTTTAAAATATATATCTACTAGTTTTCCCTTGGAAAAATATTGAAATATTTTTACATATTTTTTTAAATAGAAAGCTTCTGCCAAAAAAACTTAACTGGGGTTTGATTGTAGCACATATATTTTTACCTGTTTTCCCATAAAGAAAAAATTGATAGAAAAGTTTAGGAATGAAATTATTATGAAATACTGAGAGGTTATAGAGTTAATTTTATAGTGAGAATATTTTGATATTTGTACTTCACATTACTTAACCTGAGTAGGATGGAACTCTTTACTGAATGTTACGCAAACCCCTTCAGCATGTTACTGTAAGAGAAGAGATCATTTGAAACATTCTCAATCTGTAACTTTATTGAATAAAGGTGTGAGAGGTAGTAAATATTTTTCTAGTGTAGTTTATAAGGAGTTCTAAAGCAATCTTTGAAAAGGAACAACTTAATCAAAGAAAAGCACGAGAACTATGAAGTTACTTCCATAGTAGCTTATACACATGGTGGCTATTTTCAACAGTTTTCTTCTCTAGAAACTATTCACAGGTTCTAGATGACGGTCTCGAAGAACTGGTGTCTTTGGTAAACAACTGAATCCTTTTTTGGGAGCAAAAAAGAAGTTATTGAAGCAGTCCCTGGTGGTGGGGAATCCTCATCACTGCCATCATCATCCCTGAAAATGTGATTTAAAATTACAAAAATCTTTATTAGAACATGTGACAACTGAAAGCAGAATATCAAGGAAAGTCTCACACACATTTGTCAGTTTCTTGATGTCAACATGAACTCTCTATTTGTCACATAACATCCCATAGTATGGTCACAGAGCCAGGTGAGTTGTTTTAAAACAATAGTTTTCAAATTTCCTAGAGTACCAGGTGTCCCCCATTTTCAGGGTAATACTTGCCTAAAGTCTACAGAAATCAGCAAGAAAATATACCAGTGCTGTTAGAGCTCTGGACTCCCAAAGCTCACATGGTAGTGAAATTTTTCTTCTTCAATTTCTATTGACTTGCACAACAGGGCACACTAGGAAAGTGGGACTGATTATTGACTACAATTTCCTTGTTAATTACTGTTATTTATACCAGTCTGGACTATTTTCCAAAAGTTTCAAAATGAAGTAAAATTTGATGCATTTGAGCCATAATTAGGAGGTTTCATGTTTTTTTTAATGTTTTTTTTAATGTTTTTTTTTGAGGTTTTTATGTTGTCTCATACTTTGATAGAGATAACAATGGGATTTCATTGACTAATCATTTATACGTTTTTCCAGGTATGCTCTTACTGGTCAATAAGTGTGATCAGATGAGTGTGTAAATGCAGTTGAGTTTAGCTTTGCACATATTTTTAAGAAGTGTTCTGTGAAAGCAATTGAGGACTTCTTCCATGAAAACAAAACCTCGTGTAGACACTCATGAGGTTGAAATAATTTTTGAAAGATTGTGGAAACTTTCAAGTGCATCTTCCAGTGCTCTCTTACCTGATCAACCATGCAGAGTAAATCACAATAAACTGGTCCAAAATATCTATTTTGGACCAGTAACAATAAATTGGGCTAGTTCATGCATGTTAGCTGAATTGAATGCAGGTTATATTCATCTATTTCAAGGCTGAAACTCATGCAGAGTCTAGTTAATGAAAGGAGAGAGTTTTATTTAAGATACCTACAGACACCATGGTGTTATCCCCTGAATAAAATGGTTTCTGTGGTAATCACTTTTTTTTCACAAAACAATAATAACAAAAGATGCAGATAGCATACCAATGTACGTCAACAGCTTTGTTATCCAAAATATTATTACATGTTGACCAACTGAATCGCACCAGTTGAGGAAAGCCAAAGACCTTGTCAACTGAATCAGATAACCACTTCTTGGTGGTAGGATCTATAGCAGTAGAGAAGATAATTTTTACCTAAAAATGTAAAATGGAGTTCCAGCAATGAACACCCAGGGAAAACAGTGACATATCTTAGTGGTTTCATGCTTTGGAAACTGAGATTGGCTCTGGTGCCTTGTGTGTCACTTGGTTTAGGTGCAGACTTTACCAGGGACACAGAGAAAAGGAAAGTTAAAGCTGGCATGGGGAGGGATTAGGATTTTTGGTGGTGTAATATAACCTAACTATTGTTTCCAACATGTAATTTTGTCAGGGTTGTTCTAAATCAGAGCTTCCACATGAAAACATTAACGAAGAAGAGAAATACTTGGATTGATGAGAAACAAAATCTTTGGATAGTTCTTACCTGAAGGATAACCAGAACCATGTTCATTACCAAATTCAATGTTCTCAGGAAATTTCCATTCTTTCAATATTCTGTCTCTGGCAACCTAGCAATCAGTGTGGAAAAATGGTCTGACTCAGTAACTTCGTTTGTGTGAAATAATATGAGCAAGTTAAGAGGCAGTGTAAGAAAGAGCCATATTCCTTTAACTGATTGTTTCCTTGTTGGTTTTCAACCTTCTAACATCGTACTTATTCCTTAACCAAATGGAATAGAATGATTCATAACTCTGTAAGTTACATTGTTTTAGCTGCACTTACACATAAATATATGAAAATCTGCTTAATGTATACATTAAGTAATTAATGTAAAATCAAGTGTCTCATCACCTTTGCACAGATACTTGCAGCACTAACCACAGG